ACGGCTGGCGCGAAGTGGCATTATTTGAATTTACATCTTTAATTTCAAAAAACACCGTTTTGATTTTTCAGCATCTATATCGGATATCATTCCTTCTAACTACTTAGCCTAAACCCTCTTCTTACATCACTTAATCATTGAAGTGAGTGATTTTTGTGCGTGTTGAAGGTGTTAAGCATTTTAATTTTTCAAGGATGATCCCTGAACGTGAAGATGCTACTCTTGTTTCACCGAAAAAGTGTGTTACGAATGGTATCTGTTCCTTACCCGAGGAAGGAACTCTGAAGACTTTCAGACCTCAAGTTGAAGTTCATTTGAAGAAGGGAATGTAAGTAATGTTTCAGAACTAACATATTCTTTTGTTTGTTATGAGTTTTATTAGATCAAAGTCCTGGTCAAGAATCATACTGCTGATTTCCAGAATGCTACATATTTAACATTAAGTACATCTTTGTTATGTTTTGATGCTTTTCGATCAGCTTCATCTCGTCTTTAAATCTTTTCTGTTCCTTCCCATGTATTGAATTTTTGAGTCTGTTTTTTATCTTATAGTTTCAACTTCAGGTAATATAGTAAGGTCGTGTCTTTGAAAGCTTACTACAAGATTGCAAAGTTTAAAGTACTAGTTTAGACTCGAAAGTGAGCCAAAATTTCTCCAAGAGCAGTTCAGCAATTGTATTGCATGATATTATCAGTATTATAGCAGAATTCATATTTAGCGCAAAATCGCAACTGGAAGAAAAACTTCCAGAGCTGGAGACTTTGATCAAACAACAAAGAAACATTCGAAATTGGATCCCAGCTGAGCTCGTAGAAGTAGAGATGGCAGATCGTTCGAAATCTCTTGCTGGTAGGTTTGTGCCCTTTGGAATATTTTTTGCTGGAATTTACCTCCTGAATTGTTTTTTTTTCTAGATTTGATCCAAGGTATAGTTGTTGGCTGCATGAATTATCCAGATGCTTATCCACTTGATGATATATTGGACAAAGTGACTTTATGTGACAAAAATGTGCACTT